TAATTTTACCTGTGATCCTTTGAATAAATCAGCACTGTTTTGAAGTTACTTGGACTGCCTCGTCTCTCAGAGTTAGCATGGTAGCAAGAACTGGACCCTACAACATGGCGACGTGACCTGCGAGCCAGCTGAACTCTGCAAGACGACCGGTCCATTTCCTGAGTAATGTCCCGGACCAACAACAGCGGTAATCCTGTGCCAGGCTGAGCTGAGTTGGAGATCCAATATGCGGTCCGGAGCTGAATGCTTCCCTGATCAGAGAGTGACCTCCTGGTTGCAGTCAGAGCTGTGAGCAGTCCCACACATCAACTGGCCGGCCACAAAATAGGTAAGCAGAACCTTTGTTATACATAAACTCGGCACATTGAATTTATTCTAAATTAAAGTTGATGTGTGAGCTGTCCACTCTCGACGTTCTAAATTTGTTTCTAAACAGTAAGGCTAAAGAAACACAGTTTTTTTTCTGTTTTTGAAGGCTGTACTGGTTTGTTCTGTGTCACGTGATTTTTTTTTTTTTTTTTTGTTTTTGAAGGCTGGGCTGGTTTGTTCTTTCTCACATGTACAGTTAACAGAAGCCCATAGTCTCATTTAAGGGGAAGTAAATGAGATCACAGAATTTGATGCCAATGAGGGACGTAAAATTCACGTTTTATAAGTGAATTTCTGCTATGTAAATAGCAGTTGCCTCCTAAAAATATTTTGCCCATTTCCTTGTTATTTTCCCTCCGGCTGGAGCAGAGGCAGAGACTCCTCTCAACCAAACAAATGACTCTCTGATACACACACATACTGTATGTGATAACAGGCACAGGGAAAGTTGCTGGTCTTAAAGTGTGGGAGGGTAACTGTACAAAAGGCTAATTAAAACGTTTTTCCACAAGTGTATCACTTTGGACACAGGTTCATTGTGAGAATCCGTTGTGGAGTTAACGCGCCTTGTACAGAAGTGTAAAAGTCTGGTTGGGAATACATTTAGTGGAAAAAAATTGCATCAGATAGGGTGATTGTTTGTCCTGTTGAGCTAAAACGGTGATATCTGGTTGGGAATCAACCCCCAGAAAGTCTGCGCAGAAGGGGTTAGCCATTCTGTAGAAGGTTCAGGCTTTGATCAGTATCACCGGGCCAAGAGTCTCTCAAAGGACAGCGTCACGTGTGGCATATTCATTTCTCATGATGGCTGACTGATGTTATTCAGGACTGGAAAAATTGCAAACCACGCACACTGGGTGCAATCCTGTATCAATTATTGAACAAATGGCTTGGCACACAGGGTTTGAACCAACATTGTAGTGAAACTGATAGATTCGTAGGTTGGGCCCAAAACATGACGAATAAGGGTCTGTTTGGGTCTTATTTTGGCTCTTATAACGAGCCCCCACCAGCTGATGGGGTGGTAAAACTGTTCATTAAACAGGCTGCACGCCTGACTTGTGGTAGTGGGAACGGGGCAGGACCCAATAAAGATGTCTGGAGTCCGAAGAGTAGCTTTGAAAAATTCTTTATTTCATGCAGCATGGAGAGAAGTCGTACACAGCTTTGCAATTGCGCAGAGTTCTCTGAGTGACTGGTAAAGGGGCAGTCCCTTTATACCAAAGTGATACAATACACATCTATAAAACTCATACCGTTGTCTCACATCTAACAACTCGCATACCTTCTCCAGCTGCCTTTGCAACATCAAAAGCACAGCGAGACCTTGACACTTGGTGAGATCTCCACACTCCCTTG